ACCATATGAGCGAAAAAGGGCTCTTTTGGACATATTTAATCATGTCTGGAGCACGGGAGAGATCCCACTTGTTTGGAAGACAGCATGGGTGGTGCCAGTCCTAAAGTCCGGAAAGGATCCTGCGAGCCTCGCGTCATATCGACCGGTATCTCTAACATCATGCGTATCTAAGTTGATGGAAAGATTAATATGTACAAGATTAACTTGGTACCTTGAACAAGGAAGACGATGGCCACCGTGTATGACCGGATTTCGCCCACGACTGAGTGCCCAGGACAGTGTTTTGGACCTATTAAGCCACATCGAACACCACCGCGTCAGCGGTCTCTCGACACTCGCCGTCTTCATGGACGTTGCCAAGGCATATGATTGTGTGCTTCAGGCAGGCATCGTGAACGGGCTCCAAGCCATGGGTGTGTCGGGAAATGCTCTTCGGTTCGTACATGAATTTCTCAGAGACCGCTGTGTCCGTGTTAAGCTTGGAAATGTAACGAGCGAAGAGAGACGCGTTTCCCTCGGCGTCCCACAAGGGAGTGTTCTATCTCCCTTGCTTTTTAACGCTGCCATGGCCAGGCTTCCCGACACTCTGCACTCAGCTCTGAAAGCAGTTAAAATATCCATCTACGCCGATGACATCTGCATTTGGATCTCAGGGTACCAGCACAAACGTTTGGCCCGGATAGCACAGAGCGCTATTTCAATCATTGAGCGTCACTTGTTGACACTTGGCCTATCTTTATCAGCGGAAAAGTCAGCCTTCATGCTCTTCCCGGGAGTGCGACGGAAGTCAACACGTCTGTCGCTGAATATTCGAGGCCACTCAATTCGTTGTGCAACAAGTGTTCGCTTCCTGGGCATTACCATCGACAACAAGCTATTATGGCGACGTGCGGTTGATGGTATAGTAACTGCATCAGTGCAAAGGATCAACGCTCTTCGTCGCATGGCAGGGGTCCGTTGGGGCAACAATCCTATGTCCATGCTTAAATTGAATGATGCGCTTATAACAAGCCGCATTCTTTATCAGCTGCCCCTGATATCACCATCACCAAGCCAGTTCGAACGCCTAGAGGCAGTGCACAGAAAGGGTCTTCGCTTGGCGATGGGAGTCCCTCAGGCGGCTTCAAACACGAAGGTCACCAATGAAGCCGAGTCTCTTCCGCTCCGCCTTTTGGCGTCTCAGGCCTTATTGACGCAGCTGTCAAGACTGGGCGAGTCCTTCGCAGGCACGGCGCTTCTCCGGCGGCTAAGAGCAAGAACTGGCTCACATTTCAACGCGGCACTAAACACATTTCAATATTTAGGCTTGAAACTGCGTAAACGGCGCCCTATGGACCCGCCATGGTCTTTTGTGGATGTTGCGTGCAACTTCAGCGTGCCCAATCTACCAGCGAAGCGCACCATTCCAGCCGCGGAAGCGAAATTTCTTGCGCTGGACCACTTGAGCACCATGTACCGTTGCCACCTACAAGTGCACACCGACGGATCAGTGTGCACACAGACTGATAGCTGCGCAGCGGCTTTCTGCATACCCAGCCTGGGCGTGTCATGGTCGGGCCGCCTGGATCGCGTGGTTTCGTCCACAACGGTAGAAAGCGCTGCAATTACGGCGGCTTTGCGAAAACTGCGATCCTTTTCTGCACGAGATGTTGTAGTGCTGACGGACTCCAAATCGGCGCTACAAAGACTGCATCGTGGCCTACCTCAAGAAAAGTTCACCAGGCAATCTCTGGCACTAATCAAACACCTAAATGGCAAGAGTTTTAATATAAAGTTCCAGTGGATCCCATCCCACGTTGGCATTGAGGGCAATGAAAAGGCTGATGCCCTTGCATGCGAAGCACGTACATCGTTTCCAAAAGTAAGAACTCCCAAGACGTACCAGAACAACAAAGATGTGATACGCAATCATTTCAAGGCGATCTACAGGTTTCCACACCAAGCATGTGTAATTCATGGACTTTCTCGTGAAGAAGCGACGCTGTTGTACCGCATTAGAACCGGCTCCGCATACACCCCGGCCTGGTCATTCAAGACTGGGAGATACGCTTCCCCGTTCTGTGCCTTCTGTGGTGACATCGGGGATATTGAACATTTCATTTGGCTTTGCCCACAGTTTGATGCGCAAAGAGCAGCGATGATCCGCACCTTGCGAAAAGGCTGTCATAGGCACCGGACAGTTGATGACATCATCTTTCCTGAAGGACCCGCGGCAACTAGGAGGAACGTGCAACGAACTTTGTTGGTCTTCCTGCGAGACACTGGGCTGTCTGACACGTGGTGACATTTTCCAAATTAAGGAGATGCTCAGGCGGAACAATTGCCGGCCATGCAGGCCAGGCTAACCCCGCCTGCTGCAACACCACCACCACCACCACCACCACCAAGAATTGTCTAGGCGGTGCTCTTGAGCATGCCGCGTTTTGTGTTCATTTCGCTAGCTATCTTAACGCGGAAACCGCATCGTATCTTGTCGAGCACTCTCTAAAACAGAAAGCGCTACAATGTGGCATAAAATCATCTCTAAACAATCAACCATGGCGCCGTGACGCAAATGAGCTTTGCAACCGTGATAAGTGGTTCGTTAGCTATCTACCACAACCGAAAGAAGACACGAAATGTTTGTTTCAGTGCCCCTTTAAGCTGGTGAGCGCAGCCGAATTAAAGAGTGAAGTAATGAAAAAAAAAAGAAAAAATAGCCGCGTACCTATGAGTTCGCGGCAAATGTCGTCGAAACTGCCGCTCGTACTACACGAGTCCTGGTCTCTTTCGCAGCCACTTTTGATACTGTTCTATAGTTCCATTTGTACCATGCAAGGTGGCAGCATCAGATCATCGGCTGAGGAATTTTTCGTGCATAGCGTCACATTTTCAGCACAGCATATACGTCTTTAGATTTTTGTATCTCTTTATTTTGTAGTAAAGGGACACACCAAATACTTACGTATTGATGTTAAGCCTCCGATATGCGTAATATTTGCTTTTTATCGACGATGTTCGCAAGTATGAACGCAGCCGACCAGTTCAATATGGCTGGGCGTTTACCAAGTGCTTTGGCCGGGTCGCTGAACCGTGTGACAGACAGACCAAAATTTCTGCGTTTATGTATCCCAACAAATACTATTGTATTTAAAAGAAAGAAAACACGTTTAATTACGACATCACTGCGTAAACATTAAGCTCGTAAATTAAAGAATCTGGCAACGCGATCGAGCAGCACACTCGGAGAGTAAACTATATAAACGTTTTATTTTCCATAAAAATATATCACACATTCACGTGCCTAACACTTAATTGGCTGTGTGCACAGACTGCTTATACATATATTAAACAATTTGGACATAAAAACAATGGCCTTTCATCACAGAAGCGCTAAAGGAAAACGACGGAGTTGTTCGTAGTAAGCGTGACGCGCTCGTCTAATCTTTCAGATAACAAGGGTCACTTCGCCCTGTTGAGTGGTACTAAGAATCATTGAATAAAAAAATATATGCTAATTCAGCTTTTGCGAGCATCCCACGGGCCGTTTGCGAGCGTCGCGATGAGCTGAAGACGTGCGGGACGCAACGCTTACCGCAGTACACGCACCACTACCAAGAAACACAGCTCAACAAAGCAAGCTGGCTATAGTGTTATATGCTTGAGCATTCCTATACACCACCACCATTACGAAAATACGTGGCGTCGTACAGTGTGACAACGTGTTGCGCAGCCTCCACGCTCGGCGAAAATAGGTGGCGCGCATGTACAGTGGTCGTGCTGAGCCTGAACGCATGGTGTCGCTGTACCAAGCAGACCCAGCGGGTAGCAGCAAACACGTGGAGATGCAGACCTGTGTCATGCCGAGTGTTATATATGCATGCATTAATAACGTCCAGTCTTCAATTCACCCGAGGCCTGCTGAGTAAACGGTCGTTGCTTGGTCCCATTTGAGGTTCTCGTTCTCAGAAAAAAAAGTGGAGGGATCAATGTTTGTGAAGAACAGTAGAGGGTGCCTTCGACATACTGAGACGCTTGTGGCGACGCAGCGGCGCGTTACTATAGGCGCCGCTCAGTCAAAAGCTCGCCACCACCATAGATAATGACGTGACATCTGGCACAGATGCTGCAACTACGCGCGGGAGGCTATATACTGACGTGCTGTGCTCCGAGGCAGCTTTGCCGCTGCTGTGCCAGTTGTCACGTGATCATGGTGGGTGGTAGCCAGCTTTGAGCAGGGCAGAGCCCGTGACGTCGCTACAAGCGCCTCATTATGTCACCGGTGCTTACTCCTGTTTACAAATATGCAATAGGTCTGTCCGACAGACCACGGAAAGCCGGCAAGCGCCGATTCTGCAAGCTGATCTGTTGTACCGCCTTACAAACCCTACCTTAGGAACAGTACGCTTTGTCTGTTGCATCGAGTACTCATTCCCGACGGAGCTTTCTTTCAAAACACGGCAGCGAAAACAAGCTGAAAGAAAAATACCGCACGTGTGAGTCTGAAAGACGTTGAAAGCTTCGGGAGGCACTATGTATACAGTCTGTATCCACAGCAGTACGTGTATAAAATGTGTCTTCACTTATGTCAATCTTGCCATGTCTTACCCTGAACACCAGTGACGCACTAGTCGAAAGCCCCTGTACGCTTGGAAAACGAACTATCTACTCGTACATATCATACTGTACAGAGGAGACACTCTGTTTGGGCACGGGCGCTCGATAAAATAAAGGCGTTTTGTTGTATCGAGCGGCCTTGGTTTGGAACACTGGCCACGCACATCTGAAGACGCAACAAGATGACTCGAAGACCACCACCGCCGATGCGTAAATTCCTACGGGTACATGCACGCCAGCTTTCGCGTTATTTCTTCCATGTGTATTCGCGAACGAGGCGTGTGAACCCGACAACGAGCATGTACCACAACGTCGTCCCAAGTTATGATAGCCCAGCGTTCGCCATAATTTCCTGTTGGCGTTAACCCAGGACAATCGAGGAGTCCGCGTGATTCTTTGAATTCCGCTCGTGAAATTAAAATAAACTAAAACAAATCGAGAAAAAAAACAAATAGGTAAGGGGCAAAGCTATGGCTCTAAGACGAGGGGGTCCTCACAACTCTTTGAGACTGCTGACGATTGTGACGAGGGATTCGGCAGCATCCGAAGACCCGAGATCCCTGGCCAGTAGCCGAGCCTCTTGGATGTAGTATCCCAGCATGACCTGCGCCCGCTCCAGCGCGTCGCCCGACAGCACTTCGGACTGGAGCTTCCGGGAGAGCAACGACATGCAAAGAGAAAAGAAATGAGAAAATCCACACAGAACAGGTGTAATCAGAGGTGTCTCATTTTTGCATCACGGTATGGTGTGCATGCGGCAGCCACTAGTCTTCACTTGCTTTATTAAAAAAGAACTCGTCAATTGGTACAGAACCGCACCAATACAGCAACAACATCCACAAGAACAACGTTGGAGTTTTAGAAGATTAAGATGACCTTTGTATAACGCATCACTTCTTGCACTAATCACTATTATCGCTAATTTAATGCTTTTGACTATTTCACCTATGCAGAGAAGCAGACCAGAATATACTAGCTTTCACATATACTTTTTTTCACGTATACACATACTCTAATAAACGCTGGCATCATTAAATCTGAATGCCTAATGCCGGAAACGCAGGGTAAGATGGGACGTCCCGTAGGGCATCACATGTGGTGCCTCTTAAAGATCACCGTTTGCTTATGGAAGACCTTGTGGAAAGTTCCCGAAATTTCGAACCCCCTTTCAAATATTGTTGGATGTGGTTGTAAGCAAGACTGTTCACACGCCAGACCTTGTATTGAGTGTGTCCTACTTGGCCTCCATCTGCACAACCACTCTCACGAACCTGACAACTTTTTTTCTTGCTCGCTTATCTACACACCTTCGCCCAACAAAGTTCGCACAGTTAACGCACCCCATTCACTCACTCACTCATCCAGCCTCTAGCTGGTTAATATCATTCAGGCCAGAAGCCTTCTCTCTCTCTAACACGCACATTGAGACATACACCCTGATTGTAACTTGAAGTTTGCAAAGATGCTTACTTGTGCAACACTTCAGTGAGCATGGCACAACGTCCATTTTCCTGATACGAACACCCACAGCACTGAGCGCCTCGTCACCGGGCGTCTCTTTACCCTTTAGAAATACGGCTGAGTGCATGGAGACACTGGGAATCATCAAGTCTCTCAATGAAGGTGGACGCTCTACCACTTCCCACCATTCACTCATTCACTCACCACGCCCCTGCTAGAGGCGTCCGCATAACCCATGCGCGTTCTCGAAAGAGGTTACATTTCCTCCACCGTGTCGCATGGGCGGCGCAGCGTGAAATGGGTGTCGGAATCGTTTGACAACATGGACATGCGCGGAATCGGGCTACGTCGTCTGTCAGCTGTGACGCGCGCATAGATTCGCATTGCGCGGCTTTTGCGGAGACGGATGGTGCGACGGCTCTCGTATTTTACCGGCGCGTGCTCATCGTACGCCGAGCAGCGCAGCTGGGTCACGACGTCGATCCACATTGCCGCCGTTGGTAGGAGTGAAGGAAACCATTACATAATCGGCCGAAAGCTGTTTCGACGGCTGCGCGCTAAACGTACGCCTTATTCTCGTATTTCTTTTGCACATTTCAGATTCTTCTGGAGCTGTTCCGCATTTATAGCTATTGTGGCGTAAAAGTTTAATCACATTCGTGCCAAAACCACAATATTCTTACGTAGCACAGCTTAGCGGAAGAGTCCTGCTTACTTTTGTCCACCTGGAGGGCATTCCAAAAAAGTCCTTTGATTCTTTTTTTTTTTTTGCGAGTCCTCACTTTCCCCATATATATAAAAATTTTATTCAGGAGGTGCGTGTACTCTCTTTGGGGGTCAATATACTTTTGTGGGAGAGTCTTGGGACACCCAAAAGAGAGTCAACCACACGTGGCGTATCAGATTTACCTAAAAGAATAACACACTTTTTTTTAAAGCGGGTTCCACTTGCTGCCCCGGGTGACTGCACGAGTATTTTTCCCACATCATGATATTGAAATCGAACCTCCCTGCGCGTTCGTTCTTAGCAGAGAATCGGCGCATCCGATAAATGACACCCAGGTCACGTCGGGACAATGGCAGAGCACGTTTTTGAACTGGATGTCCTATGTTTGACATGCGGTGTGACCAAGTTCTGTTGTCATATGCAAGTCTGCACGCAACTTAATGCATCGTTGCAGTTTTCACGTGCACCAACCTTTGAAAACTCCAGATCCTTCATTCCGGTCTCCTTGAGGCGGGCCAGCACGTGTGGATGCGTTTCCATGTGCAAAACTATCGGAAGACTAGTGATGTCGTAGTCAAGGCCCGTTGAGTATGGCGCCTCCAAGAACTGCCTGGTTTCGTGGTAGGTCTGCGCATGTTGGAAGAAGTTATGAAATCTTAAATTAGGGGCTTTATACTACCGCAAACAGATATGTTATACTAATGCACGTTGTACTAGAATGCTGCAGAACAAGTTTATCAAATTGGGTTCTTGAGTGTGGGCTTAAATCTAAGTAGATGTGTGTTTTAGAATTTCGACTTTATAAGAATGTGACCGCAGCGAACAGCAATCGGACCTGGACCCTTCTTCCTTGCATTAACACCATGTGCCTTATGGTACATGGCTGACAGTCTAGATACAATATGTTGTTTTAGTGAGACAAATCATGAATTACGGCGCAGTCGAGTTATCGCTTCAGTATCTCTAGCTAGGAAAAATTAATCGTGTTATACAGCAGTATATAAACAGAAAACGTCTGTTGAAATAAGTAAAAACGAACAAGTCAACAACAACAAAAAAAAACCGTGTCCACCCACTAAACCAGCCGACGAGGTTTCAATGACAGACTTACCTGCAGGGCAAGGGCGATATGCTTGCCGAGCTGGTAGACCTGGTCCTGGACCTCCTTCTCTTGGCCAGCGACCATGGCTGCGGCCCTGTAGGCGGAAGCCAGCAGACTGGCGGTCTTCAGGTGGGTCTTCTTTTCCCACCACATGGCGTCCACGAAGGGTGCCTCCTTCAGGTCGCTCTCGAAGTACGACCGCACGTAGTCCTCGACCACCTTGCCGAACACGTCCAACATCTGCAGTGCAACAACGGAAGGGTCAGCTTAACTACACTGACGGCCACGATGTCGTTAGGCTTACATCACAATACTGATGAAGCATTGTAGAACCTAGACAGTGATAAGGCATGTGTTCTGCAACCTTTCCATCAATCGACTACCGTATTTGCCCGACTATAACACGTGGGATGACTTCATTGCGTCCAGAGAGAAAAAAATATATAGGATTTCGATGCGATTGTAACGCGAGGGTTGACTCTAGGTAGCAAAAATCTGAGAAAAAAATGCGTTACGTTTGAGCAGAAGGGCTTTCTTGCAATTAGTAGCGCGCCCGCGGCTTATGGCGCTGCCGCGTATGACATTGTCGATCGTGACGGCATTCTGAACTGGATGTGCACGTGTGCTTGACGTATTAACAAAAATGACTGGAGTTGGTTTAGGGGCCCTTTAAACTACTCAAATATGGGCAGTCGCAAAAAAGAGTGATGTTAGTTGCAGCCATGTTACATAGCCGGGGGGAGGGGGCAACTGGGTCCGTGCCTTCCTGCACCCGAAATTTTTTTTCTCCATAGCATACACAGCACTAAATGAGGCACGACTACATCTGCCTGCTCGGGCCCCAATTCGAATCAAAGTGGTGCCCCCCCCCCCTCCTGAAGACATTTCTGCCTATGGCCCTGGCTGTAGGCAGAAATGGCGTTGTTGACGTAGCTATGCACAAGGTTATCCACTATGGGTCGTGAGCTTCATCGCAGCCCCTAATGACTGTGCGCAGGCATGCAATAATCGAGCTATACTGTGTGGATTCCCGCACACGGTCTGCGCACCACGGGAATGCCTATGGCCGTGGTGGTCTGAAAGGCCTTGGCGAAGAAGAAGTCCCCGGCGAGCACGGTCATCTTGTTGCCCGTCTGGACGTCGTCCAGCACGAGCGGGTCCAGCCTGTCCCTCTCGGCCGCGGCCACGTTGAGCGCCGACGCGTGGATGATCTGCGCCGCGTGGAACTCCTCGGTGGCGCTGACGACCAGCTGCTGGCGGCGGGGCACCTTTTCACGTTGATCGGCCCGGCGCTCAACCACGGCGCACGCCTTGATGAACAGCGAGACGAGGAGACCCCGCGTCTGGATGTTGGTGCTCTGCTGGAACAGCAGCTGCCTGCGTGGAAGACAGTGGAGGTAGATATATACGTCACTGAATGGTGGTGAAACAGCGCCGAATGTGAGCACAAAAGGCAATATGAAGTGCTCTGGCTACGGATGAGGCTAGGAGGGGTTACGTAACCGTTTTCATTAAAGTTATGTTAGCCAGCCGTCTACTGAACTTATGTTTGAAGAAGTATAATTTATACGTTTCAGCAGTAATAAAAGTTTATCCAATCCAATCTCGAGAGCATGAGCGAAGCGAACAAACGTCTTATACTGCTTCGTAGCAATGTTGTATAATCGGTACAAAGATAGAAGAAAAGTAGTCGAGGTTGAGAAAAAAAATGAAAGCAGTGATGGGAATATGTGGCGGTCATTGTCGAGCCTACAGTATTCAATTGACTTCAGAGCTGTATTTCATGGGCTTGATAAGGCTGATTCTTACATAAATGGGAATGTACTACCAATGTTGTGTTACACTCAGAAAACTTCACTTAGCAACATGACCAGCAGCGTATCGTAGTCATCCAAAAATTAACTTCAATTATCGATGTGCTTGTTCTTCAACTCGTGCTCCAAAATATCAACCCTTTGAAAACGCCTTCTGGCTTCCAGCTCCGGTAATGCAAGTTACCATTATGTTATGTGCCAGTATCTTTTTATAGGCAATCAACTTACCTTATTATTATTCTTATTCTTCATATGTCCGTGCTCATCTGCTGTTTCTGCATTGTTTCCAGGGCGACATCCTATTGTTTATGTTAACGTATAGGATATCGCTCTGTAAACGCAACAGGACTAATATATTCAACATGCAACGCCAACACGACTGTTTTCAGAAACTTTACTTCACCCCTCGCTCACAAAGAACACGTGTTTTAACAAATAGCATCGCAATCAATTCACTGCGATATTATATAACAGCCACTTCGATTGTGCCACATGTCAAAAGGAGTGATAACCGTAAGTAATCTTCCGACGTGTCAAAGAGGTATCAAATACGAGGAATTCCGTTCACACACGCGATTGTGCAACGGGGACCGAAATGCAAGTGCACGACGGGCGTGTTTGCATCCCGCGCAAGCAAGACATACAGGCCGCTGCGACCACGATTCGAACCAACGACGTCTACGCCGAGCAGCTCGAAATTCCTTTTTAAAGCCGTGCAGTATATATCCGCTCACCTATCGCGAAAAAAAGAAAACACCGGTTATCAGGGCCGGCGTTTGCATTTCTGTGCCGTATGCACACGTTTCGCCACGTGCACGATCCAAATAGCAGCCAGACGAGATCGCCGGCGCAACGCCCTCTCGTAGCGGAGGTCATCGATACGTGCACTTGACCCGAGACGGAGCCTCTTGCCCAAGGCTCGGCGAGGGAAAGGATTCTCCGCCAGTCCCTCTGCCCGCTGATCTTTGCTGCTTTCTTCGCCGAGCTCGCATTCCCAGCCTTTATATTTTCGCGATAGGGTGCAGCACATGCATTTGCATAAGCGCGTGCACGCATGCGCGCTTTGAACCAAGGACGACTTCGCAACGCGTTCTCCGTTTTGCTTTTTTCAGCGGCGACTTTCCATATTCCCGGAGATTTTCGTGCTTTATATGGCTGCAGCTACGGTTAGCGGTCCCTAAGTTTCTTAACGTCGTCGTCTATTCTGAGTGAGGAGATATTCGTATCTGTGCTGAATGGAAAGTAAGGCAGTATAATCTATAGATATATAGATAGAACGTAGATATCACGTATGTACGTAGTACTTCTGTAATTGTTCTCTTTTTTGTTGTTTTGTTTGTTCTAGTTTTCCTGTGTGTGTGTGTGTGTGTGTGTGTGTGTGTGTGCGTGTGTGTGCGTGTGTGTGCGTGCGCGTGTGCGTGTGTGCGTGCGCGTGTGCGTGCGCGTGTGCGTGCGCGTGTGCGTGCGCGTGTGTGTGCGCGTGTGCGTGTGTGTGCGCGTGTGCGCATGTGCGTGCGTGTGTTCGATACTGCTATCATGTTAGCGGGATAGCAGGTTCTAACCTATCCTACTTTTTTTCATGCGTGAATAACAAAAATTTCACCAGCAAGCAAAAAATATTGAACCACCAATCACTGAGATCATCACTATCGTTGTGATACGAGTGCTGCTTGCCGTTCTGGTCGGCAAATCGCCCAACGATACTATCCAGCACTTTGGTTTCAGATAGCCGCCAGCCTGCACACGTGCTCCTCGCATAGGCAGTACGCCGTGACAGCACTTGTGAAGATCATGATCTGTATAATGATGAGCGGTTGAAAAATACTATCACTCTTTAGACTCGTTAAACTGGGTATCGCTTGGAATCAAAGTGTCAAAGCGAACCCGAGCAGGAATTTTGGGGAGAATCAATTGAGACAAAACGATTTTTTCGTTTCGCCAGTTCATTCGAAAACTATGCGTGATGCTATAAAAAAAAACATGGCGACTCCCCTGAACGATAACAGCACGCGAGACTAATTTTAGTTCCAATATGACGCGCGATTGACTTTCCCGAAAGCATTAATTCCAGTTACGTGGATGGGGCTTCGCATTTATTCGATGTGCCGCTCAAAAGCTGCGTTATTGTAAAGGCCGCTGTGTTGTGAACTGTGTAAGAAAATAGGGGTGTCACATAGTCTTTTTTTTTCTTTTTCTTTCTTTTACTATTTTTTTATGTACGAGCAGCCGAACAACCCGCTTCGAAGTGTCTCTCAGTTAATCTATGCAGTAAATTCAACACACTGGGCCTTTCTTTGTGCGCAAGTCGCCCCAAATGAGGCTAACTCAACGTCGTTGTGAGGCAAGCAAGAAAACAAAGAGAGAGTGAGGGAAAGCATACATTTTCCGTCCACCGGCTTACAGGAGCCGCTTTCGCGTCGACGCTGGCAGTGATTGAAGAGAGAGAGAGCGGTGGTCATTTCCGCGTCGATCAGCAGTGGGTGGGTGCCGACGACTTCCCCGCCGCCCGCGCGCAAGCACGAGAGATGCGAATCAGGGCTACGTGGAGGGCCGACCGACAAAGGTTTCTTCGGCGACGGGCGCACAAACGCCGCCGTGGCCCACTTTCACTCTCGGATGGACGTGCACCTCACTCAAGCAGTCGCCGCCGGTCATCGAACCCGGCGACCATGTGCGTCGCCGATCTTCGAGACGCTCGGAAGAAAGAGGAAGTGATCGGCGCCCGTTATTCCTCCTCCCCCCATAGGAACATCCCGCTCGGATCTGCGTGCATGCGAACTCGTTCAACGAGCTCGCGGCCTACACCGGCAGCAATCCTTTTCTTGCTCGCTTTCTCTGTGGTCCGGGTCTCTTTTCCTTCCAGAAATAGCGGCGCGCATACACGCACACATCGTGCCGAGTCGCTCAGTGGTGTCAGAGATCACGCTTGCCCTTTCTCTCTCTCTCTCTCATTGGCGAGACGCCGTGGCTGCGCACGCGGCACAAAACGGGATCTCGCGAGCGGCAAGGGTCGTGTCTCGATATAGGACACTTTCGGCTGCAGCGGCAGGGACAGTACGCCAGTGTAAACGTGCATACACACGTCGTGCATACCCAAGCGAGTGCCGTATTCCGCGATTTCCTCACGCCTGTAGCCCAAGTGGCTCTCCCTCTCTATGCTAGACGATTCGGCATCTCGAACAAAAGCGAACTGGCGACGCGTGTTTAAGCACCTGGAAGCAGCACAGCAAGGGAGCGTTTCGTTGAGAATTCGTTGTATCAACCGATTCGTTATACCGGCGTTAGGCGTCCGCTTCGCGACGGCTTGTCCGCAGAGCTTCACAGCGGGCGACCGAGTGGTCACATCCGAGCCTGTTTCCGGAACACTTGAAGCGCCACGCGGTTGATAGATGGAAAGTCGTTCTTTAAAGGAGTACTGACACGATTTTGAGTTGCGGCAAAACGGTCGTTTTTGGTTTCCTTGGAATGTATGTAGCGTTAGTGTTCTCCCCACACCGGAACCGGGAAACACTTATAAAACATTTTAATTTAATTTTTAATACTCTTTCCTGGGTCATCGATACCAGTGCTTTTATTTACAGCAGACATTCGAAAATTTTCAAAGTTCGTGTCAGTGCTCCTTTGAATGGAAAGCATGTTTCACAAGTCGAAAAATAAGGCTGCCGACGTTGAAAACACTAACGGTGCTGAAATTACGCTATGCGACGTCGTGTCCATCATCTCACGACATAATATCGCATGACAACTGTCGCTAGGTCAAAACGGCACCGATTCCTGAGGCAGTACAAAGCCACGTGAGGTGTGCAGCTTCGAAGGAGTGGGAGACAAGTACAACCAGATTGAGAACGTTGGAATGATTCAGCCAGCGTCTCGGGAGCACATAAGCTTTCTGCTGCGCTCTCTTGAGCGTTACCCAGCAAAAATGTGATATTTTTGAAATTGGGCTGTTAAGTAGAAAATAGGTGCATATCTAGCCCATTCGTATTGACACATCAAAAGCGTGCATTGTGTAAAGTAACTTTACTGTTTATAACAGACAATCGAATTCAGCACCGAAAGGAAAAGAAGAACTGCCTAAATTATTACCCCCGCTTACGGCTTTTGCTGTCAGTCATGTGTTCCGTCAAGCCCTCGCCACTGCACGCTAGACCGTGTCAGATGTGGTGTTTGCATTTTTGATAGTGGCAAAGTAGGCTTTGGTGGCCGATATATGTTTATCGGGTTTTTTTTTTTTGCTTGGCTTGTAGTGTGCTCTTATCGTAGTGGCTTACAAAACTCGTATCTGCGAGTATATGCATCAATTTTCCGATTAAACTTTCAGTTGTTAGTACGCGCTCGTCCGTGCCTTTGTTAGTCTTTGTCTGCGTCACGCGCGCGCATTTCAAGCAGTCATGAATCACCAACTCGTCAAATCGGCCATTTTGACAAGTTTGATTGCCACTTAAAAATTAGCGGAGCAGGGGAACATCAGTTGTGTGCTTCAGAGTCCGACGTCATTCCGATAGCTCACTTACTTGCGCCGCTGGATACGTGTAAGATGTGATAGCTGACCTGAACTATATACCGAAAGGTCGCGCAGAGCCAGATGACGTCGCACGAAGCCTTGGCACAAAACTGCCTGTATTTAACGCCAAAGGTTGCGTGCTGCCGTAAAGACGGTGCGAGGAGGACTGAAATTACTGAACAACGAACCTACCAGCCATTCGTCATTGCGCAGTATACGTGGGCTGCACGTACACGTCACATCAGAACGAGAAGACTGAACAGCCATGTTGGTCAAGATGTGCAGCTGCCTGGAAGCATATAGTCGGGAGCTTTGCAGCGGCGAGATCTGGTTTTCATTCGTGCTGCCGGGTTCACCATGATTGTAAGCATAAGGCATAACCACGCATTAGAATGTTGAGTTTTCCCGCGGTTATTACAACTTGGCGCGCGTGAACTACAGATGCATGTTGAGGGAAGAAGCGCCGTATATCGCTTGACTGGCGCGCATAAAACGGGAAAACCTGAAGGAAGAGAAATACGTCCATGTATGCAGTCGTCACTTCACCACAAATAAGGTATTTCAGAGTTACGTCCAGCTTTACTATACGTTTACTGACGTGAACACGTCGCTTCTCCAAAATGCTATATAAATTCTCAGCAATCTACAGACGATCTTTTCGATAACCACGTCTCGTGTTGTTATATATGAGGTCTAACGGCGTAACATATGTGAAGATGTTTTCTTTAATTGGACACTGCGCGAACTTAATGGACTACGTGAACGCCGATTGGGCACCGAGGCTACTGCTGGGCCACTGCCGCCACAGGTGCGTGTTTTCACCGCTCTAAAAAGCGACGGAGGAACACGCTAGATGCAGTCGCAGCGAACCAGCCGCCCACCGAGTCGGGAACATAGCTCGAACAGCCTGCCACAGGCGCAGAACCAGATGGTGATGAACCATCAGCAGTAGATCCTGCCGAAGATCATGCGTCTTGAGTAAGACGATGCTTTACTTCGCCCGTAACGTGGAATAGCGTCCACTAACCTGACCTAGAATGACGACACGCTGTGATGGAAGCCGCTTTGCTGCTATGCCCTTCACCCATACCGCTGGTGAAGTAGTAGTGGCCGTCAAGCGACTCGTACACCATTTATTGCAGCGTGACATGTCTTGCCGAAGGCACCAAATAGTTCATTGCGCCGTGTGTCACGGAAGGCAGCAGATCGACCTTCGGCGTAGCATCCTTGCCGATGCGCAGTTCGTACGGGTCGATGCCATCGCACATTTCAATGTTTGCTCGGTATCCTACACGAGTCAATCCTACAATCTCTTCTAAGCACGACGGGCAAAGCGCATGCGCGTTTCCTTTCGCCATATCGCTCGAATGGCGCCGACAAGCTTTCGTCGCGGCGGTAAGCTGCACGCACAGTCTGACTCTCAATGTCGACAAACATGGCGGTCACTCACTTTGCCAGCCGGAAATGACGTCACGTGAAAAAAAAGTCTACAAATATAAAGTCAAGGCTACCTGCCAAATATTCTTCATTATCTAAACCGTCAAACCGTAGCGCGCAGCTATAAGCAATTTTTAAAAGCTGTAAGAGTATATGAAAACGCTTTAGGAACACTTCTGGCAATCATCACAATCTATTCTCGAAATCTCCCCATCCGATTATCGTGGTGTCAAACGAATGACGATAGTTATAGCGCGAGAACAGAACGACAACAAAGAGACAACTATCTTCATGTCATACCAACTAGCCCAAGCTGCCACACTTCCAATCAAACGAATGTCGCAAACATCACCCGCCCGCCCGAGCTCCTGGCCGCTCAACAATGCTGACGTCCTTTTCCGCTGCAACGCTGGATCTCCGTGTCCGTCGACGCCGGCTCAGCGTTATAAAATACTTGGCGAATCAGACACGACATATTGCTAGGACGGAAGCAAGACTTGCATTGAAGTACTAAACAAGTTTAACCATTGCAATGCGAGTACAAGTGTGGCTTTGGGCTAGTTCGTATGGCATGATGATAGTTATAGCGCGAGAACAAAACGACGACACAGAGACAAGAAGGACACGGGCGCTCGTGTCCTTCGTGTCTCTGTGTCGTCGTTTTGTTCTCGCGCTATAACTATCGTCATGCGAGTACAAGAGTCGCCTCACACAAGCCACCGGTGAAGGGTGGCCACGAATAATTTGACGGTTCCACCTAAAGGAAAGAACCCAACGGGGAACCCGTGCATCTAATCTGTGTCTTCCTCGTACGATGTTTAGGTTTTTGTTTACGCGTACGGGACCCATCAAGTATGGAAATTGACGCGAGAAAATATGTGCGCATACAAATTAAGAAATCGGTTCACGGTTCACCGAAGAAGGCTCCGCCGGTAGAGTAAACATAGTCAGAAACCAGCGCTAGCCGAAAGAAGGAAGAAAAAAATGTTTCACGTGAAGGTTGCAACATTTATTGTTCTTTATGTCGACCATCTGCAGAAGTGCACTTTAGGTGTTTCGGATTTCTTAGAACGGAATACAGCGACACTTTTCTTGAGACTCGATGCGTAAAGTCGGCACTTGGCTCTCGTTGTCCATTTAGTCAAAACACATACACGACGACCTCAGACTGTATGGGGAACGGCCGTTCTGATGACGAGTTCTAGATTTTCTGGTGATCTGTGTAAAACGGTGTTCAAATTTTCAGAAAAGAGGTCCCCCTTTCCGAAGGGGGAAGTGGGGGTGATACAATATGATGTGCTGTGTCCTAGAAAGCTAAGATCCGGCGATCTTGTGTGCAAGGTCATCAAAATACATCTGGAACTCAACAGGGCTCTAGATTATCCAAATGCAGGGCCACAGCAGCACACTTACGGGAACATCAATATGGGAGTACGTGCATGTTTAGGGTGGCTAGCATGGCGACTCCATTTACACACACGTGGGTTCGCTAGGTCAAGCACGTGCCCTACCTCTTCTTCGCAGTTCATCCTCAACGTGAGGGCATTAGATGGCATTGGCCTCACACCTTCAAGTTATCTCTAATGTTCACGTCACGCCAGGTTTAGAGCCTCCCCATCACGTCCACATAGTTTTCACGTGACGTCACGGACACGTTCTTTGCGTTGGTGGCTCTAAGATGGCGGCAGGCATGACTCATTGATTGATATGTGGGGTTTAACGTCCCAAAACCACCATATGATTACGAAAGACGTCGTAGTGGTGGGCTCCGGAAATTTCGACCACCTGGGGTTCTTTAACGTGCACCCAAATCTAAGCACACGGGCCTACAGCATTTCCGGCTCCATCGGAAATGCAGCCGCCGTAGCCGGGATTCGATCCCGCGACCTGCGGGTCAGCAGCCGAGCACCTTAGCCACTAGACAACCGCGGCGGGGATTTATCTCTTCAACGAGTCAGTGCAGAGGAGGACACGCAGTCGTTCAGTCCCCGCGTTCTTTTGTGCTTTCCCACTTTCTTCCGTTTGTGAGCCACACCAAGAGGGAACATAAAGGAACGCGAGGGGCTCCAGCACCATGATGTTACTGTTTGAGCTCACGCAGATTGTCAACCAGCTGGGGGCCCTAAGATGGCGACCACGAGGACGTCACTGCAAACTACGCAAACCATCGGAAAAATTTTTTTTCGGCGTTCGGGTAAAAAAAAGGGGGGGGGGGAGGGGGGCGAGGCACGCGGAAGGCGTGTGTGCCGGGGCGGCGTCTTGCTCCCTTTCCTCGACGTCTTGGCCCGCGGTGCCGGCTGACCCACATGCGCTCGATGCGTGGTCGCGGCAGCGGGAAATGCGAATCGGCAGCTCGCCGCTTCCCTTGTGATGCATGCCGCAGATCGAGGCACGCAGCACGCGCTTCACAGCTTGAACCACCGCCCATCAGGGATGCGTGGAAACGGTTTCCGGACGTCAAGGTCTCAAATGTTGATGCATGCGTGGCAGTGTGTATTTCACTCGTCGAAGATCTGTTTCTTTTGTAATTGTTTAGATCAAACTTTTCCTATCTGTAAGGCCGTGCCAGATACCATGTGGCAGGAGTGCATGAAAAGAACTGGAAAAAAAAAGTGGTGGATTCTAGCTTGCTTGCGTAGACAATGGTTCTGGATGATTGCAGTTTTGTTATTTTATCTTATTTTCTTCTGGAAAGTTTGCAAAAGGAGATTCAGCACTGAACAATGTCACCGTTTCAGACATCCATCGTGTGGATACCTGGAATGGGAGGAAAGCATAGTGTTTTGGTTTTCACTAATTTCAATCCGTGGGTAATCATTCAGGTTTCTCCCAAAAAGAAAGCGCAATGACGCACCATATCGCCACGCTGGACTACGAAGATTTCGGTGCCCAGCGTGGCGGTTAAAGCTTTGCCAGTTAAAGCTTTAGCACAGTGTCTCATCTGAAGTCAACCTAGCCCGACATCGACAGGGCAAACGATTATTATAGCGCGCGAACAGAACGACGACAAAGGGACAAGAAGAATACGAGCGCTAACTAAGCTTCCAACTGTTCATTATGCAAAGCTATTCATTTTGCTGCGGCAAATTCACTATGCCGGTGCCACTATAGTTCACGGAACAGGATAGTAACTTACCCCAGAGCGCTGGTTAGATGCATTAGATGCGCTTTACAAGAGCGAAAGCCTCGGATGTTAACTAACACAAACACCAAGCATGACCTAGAGGTGCGTGGCGGACTCACTTCACGGAATCCACGATCGGGTGCTGGCTTCCCATCATCTTGGCCACGGTGCCCAGGAATGTGTGCAGCTCGCCCATTTTCATGAGCTTCTCCGAGAACCGGCTCGTGTCGTGGCCCGTCAGCTTCTCGGCGCACTGGATGGCGTGGTTGAGCCGCAGCGAGCTGGGCACCGCTGATCGCTGCGACGAAGACCACACGCACCTCCGCTGCTGCTCGCGGCCTACCGAGGCGGCGTGGCGCATCTTGGAGCACAGAAGCCGAGTCCTTCCGGAAGCCATAATGTTCCCGCACTTTCACGGAGCCGGACGATAATTACGACTTGTCGCAGATAGGCTATATTTCGTCAGGGCCAGCAGATAACACCATACACTACTGGAGCAGCCGATCAAACGCCTTGCCTCTTGTACGAGCAATCTCGAGGACAGTATCTTTCCACAGCCTGGGAACGTCGTTCGTTGCCAGATTAAGCGTGATTAATCAATGATCTTCGGTAGATAACTGTGGTGTCTGCACCGTTCGCTTCGCTAACATCTATACGAGCACTGCATCGGTAGTGCACAGTCACTTTTGGCAAACGCTTTCCAAGAACGACGTTATCCACGAGTGCTTTTTCTGCGTTGTCAGGCGCCGTTGAAGGGAACGCGGGATAGTTCAGTGGTGGTTCCAGCAGCGGCAAAGTGTGAAGTCAGGGGTCGGAGTATCCGTAAAACCTCAGCGGGAGCGAAGTCCAATCCGCATTGTTTGACCACCAGGAGTGGCGACGACGTCTACTGGAACTGCGGTGCGGAACCCGATCGGCGCGCTACTACCGAACGATATGTTGCCCCGGAGCTGCGAACGAGTCGGAAACACCGGTGGAAGCCGAAGCGACGAGGAGGAGCGGCGCTGAGGACGACTGGCGGCCGTCACGGTCCTGGTCACTTTCGGCGGCGTCGGCCCGCAGGGAAGGAACGTCGCGAAGGGGCAGAAATAAATGAACCCCCGATGACGCCGGCGTGCGTTCGCTCTGGTATGACTCGCGGGGAGCAGAGCGCGTACTAGTCTTCGAGGAAGGCTACACCGCCTCGTAGAAGAGGAAAGGGGTGGCAGGGAGGAAGGGAAGGGGCTTCTGAGTGCTTATCTCCTCGCCACTGCCGTACACGCCGAAGAAAGAACGAGATGCGGAGAAGGCCCGGCCCAGCTGGCCGAAAAAAAGTGGGCCACGCAGCTACGTACGGCGGCTGGCCGCGTGGATGCAAGCAAGCAAGGGGGTGATAACCCTACTGAGCGGCTTCTTGGGGCCTGCTGCTGCTGCTTTCGCAGGGTCGGCCCGGAGAAAGTGGTCCGCCAGGTCCCGTTGTCCTGCTGCCGGTGAGAAGCGGCGTGTGTTCAACCGGCATCGTTACCGGGTGTCCTTTTCCTGGCGCGCATTCACGCAAAGCAACGGCGATGGGGGGGGGGGGGGGGGGGCGTGTTCACTGCGGAAGTCTTCGGGGGAGGGGTGTCACTGATACGGATGCAGATCTGCAGACTCAATAAACCCGGTTTTATCAAGCTCCCATTTTAGCATATCGTGAATGTTAACAACGTTGCAGGATATTTGTCTCGTTTGTTTATTTTTTTCTTCCTATCGATACAACGTGCCGCCTCCGCAATCTTCTCAGATAGAAGAACAGAGCGCCGAGACCTCCAGTGGCCTAAATCAAATGGGCCATTCATAGTGACCACGAAGAGTGCAATTCTGTGAGAAAATGTGAATGAATAATTGCTTTTTTAATGTATAATAAACAATTGATTCGACTGCTTGTATGTGGTATCAAATATGTCTACTATGTCTAAGATGTCTATGTCTAAGAGAAAAATGTCTAAGAGAAAAAAAAACTGAATTGACCATTTGCAAACATCTGCAAGCGGCTTTCCTACAAGGTTGTTTTCCAACCAAAGTTCTCGTTCACAGGTAGCGTTTCACACTCATTCTGTTTTCGCTGTCACCCCAGAGTTCTAGTACACTGTACCCACGCCCCAACCCTTTTAGAATGACAGGTTCCTCACCCGCAACGTGATCTGAGGATTCATACAAGACGGGACAACCCCGTAGTAATCGTTTGGGCGAAAAGTACTTTTGTTGTCCTCGCGTGCCTTCACTGGAATAGGAGCGGTAAAAGCACACTGAGCCAAAAAGCAGCCTGCGCACGTGAGTTTTTGGTTGGAAGACAAGTTCGCAGGAAAGCCGCCTTGTGCATTTTTGCAAGTTTGGACCAACTCAAGTCGAGCACTTATGTCAGCATGCCTTTCTTGGTCCCCGTACGTTCACCCCTCCACATTCCGACGAAGGTGAAACGAGCTGCGCAGAAGATTTTCAGTGGCTTCACTGCTTGAACGCAACGCGTCATGGTAATTCTCTGGAGTAGAGAGAGAAAACGAGAAAGGAACGGCAGGCACGATTGTCGAACGGAAATAATTCTTTTGCCGCTGAGCCTGGCGAGGTTCGCAGAACACGGCGAAACTTTCAAGGTCTGTTCTAGGAATAGTTCGTTATGCTTGTCTGTGGCCTAGGTTCGGGTGCAAGGTACATTCGCTTGCACGTGCGCAGTAACATTCTTTTGCAAATTGTCAACCGACGCAGTAACAGGCATGCAAGCCAAGTTTTTTACTGCATACAAATAAAGTAAACTGTTCAGCTACTTTCAGTCCAAAGCAAGTTTGAACTAAAAGTGGCTGGAGGGTTTATTTTATTGGTATGAATGTATACCCAGCCGTACATATCTCTGTCGAATATGTTCACCTTTGAAAAGTTTTAATGCAGCATTACTACCCTTCTTGTACTCTCTCTTCTCAGATGTTCAGGTGTTAAAAAATAAGAGGCCTGTCAGTGAATGCGAAAAAGAAAATGGAGTGGTCTGCTTCTTACGACGGCTTTCTTCTTCTCGTCGGATTTTCGAGAGTAGAAGTGTAAAGGAAACATCATCAGGGATCACCGGTCTCCATCATGGTAAATAATCAGCGTGGCCGTCATCCTGCAACTGTCCAGGCCCTACTGAGTCGAACTGACTTGGCAGCCCCTTGTGCACTCACCTGCATACGGTACAGCATGACGGGATAACGAGAAATACAGTCCGACAAGGACAAAGTATTACATAATAAAGCTGATAATTGCACTTTATATTGGGCTTAAGCCACGTACTGGCGACGAAAAATAGAGCTGAATGAGCAAAGTCACGGGACTAAATATATCACTGACAACATCAACAGTAGCGCATTTCGTATTTGTCTATGAAGCCCTGTTCTTTCTTTTGGTAATCGGCAATCACCGAGCCGCTCATGATAGAGAGCACACATCAGCTGCATTGCTATAGCATTGTTTTGAGAAGAAGCGGAGTTTGGGCATACCGACTGTATGAATATTCGCTGATAAATATTGAAATTATTTGCTTCGGAGAGCATACGTCCCAGCCGTGAATATGAAATCGAGTTGTGATAACGGAGGTGTGATATCGCTTTATCAGGAGCGACCAAAAAGTTTAAGCTGCTCATCACAGCTACGTACTTGACCTGTATTTCAAAGAGGTTGAAATCATTAAAGCAATGCATCTAATAATATGATGCGTGTTCAAGAAACTCGGGCATGAAACCGTCCTTAATACGAAGCAAGCAGCGTTTTTTTTTCTCAGAATTATCTCGCTTACAAATACAATGCTCGCTTTGCTTTACGATTTTGAATGACTTTTTCCAGTTTAACTTGCCTGGCATCCAGCGTTTTCAGATTTTTTTTTTTCCTTCGGCATGTTTTTCGCAAGGTCGTTGACGTTGAAGGCGACACAAAGGGTCATATTGTTCACCCGCTTTTATGTCCTTGGCGGGGGAATGCAAAGGTTGAGGCCTGCTGACGTCACTGCTTCGGCAGCGCATTTCCCAGATAGGATTACGGTGGCATCCAGGTAGTTTTGTAGCAGCTGCATGCTTGACGCTTCTTCATACAACTGGCTAAAGGTAGCCTCGACAGGGCCTTGCAGCAGATGGAAGCACGCATCAACCGAGGAAAAAAAAAATGAAAGAAACGAAGTAACCAATGAACGATTGACAGCGCACGTGAGTGACGGGTAGTGCGTGCAAGTCAACAAATCTACACATGTCCGTGCTTACGCATGAACTAATAATACACGTGGTGAATTCTCGTGCGGAGGCACACATTCTAACTTTTTTCCTGTAGGCCCGAATGAATAAGCCATGTTCACGGTATTGACTATGTATGCAACGTCGTGGGCGACCACTTGGCGCGCAATCTTCTGTGCTGCTCAATTCATCGTTGCTATATTTCTCGACAACGCTGTACGCCGTCATCGCAAGTGTTTAAGCTCGTCTGTGATGAATACGAATCTAAGCAGATCAGATCGCACGCATCGATGAGTGATTGATTGATATGTGGGGTTTAACGTTCCTAAACCACCATATGATTAAAAGACGATGTAGTGGAGGGCTCCGGAAATTTCGACCACCTGAGGTTCTTTGACGTGTATACCCAAATCTGAGCACACGGGCCTGCAGCATTTTCGCCTCCATCGACAATGCAGCTGCCGCAGCCGTTATTCGATCCCTTGACCTGCGGGTCAGCAGCCGAGTACTTTAGCTACCATGCTACCGCGGCGGGGCCATGCATCGATGAGAGGAAGCTAAACTTGTGAACGTGGTTTGTAAATGTTGAGTTTATAACGCCGTAGGTGATTCCACCAAGAATTAAAACTGCTAGCAAAAAAAAATTGCCTAATTAAAGAGCTATCCCTAAAATCGAAGTATAATATAATAATGATAATATCTGATATTTTACGTCCCGAAACCACGATGTGATATGAAAGACGCCGTATGGTGGAGGGCTCCGGTAATTTCGACCACCGAGTGTTCTTTGACGTGCCCTGAAGTCATACAGTAAATCCATTATACTCAACCATTTTGCATCCATCTAAATGCGACCGCCAACTCACCACGGTGGTAGGCTGCTGACCCGCAGGTCGCGGGATCGAATCCCGGCAGCGGCAGCTGCATTTTCAGTGGAGGCGAAAAAGCAGTATGTCCCTGTGATCAGATGTGGCTGCACGTTAACAGGTCGAGATTTCCAGAACCCTCCACTGCAGTGTCTCTCATAATCATGAATGATACTTTTGAGGCGTAATACCCCAGATATTATTATTAAATGCGACCGTTGAGGCTGGGATTGAACACGTGACCTGCGCTACGCCAACGCGGCCGACAAGATTGTACGTACAGTGTCATGAACTTGCGCAGCCTGGCAAACAGAAATAAAACAAACACCATTTATGCGAAGAATTCAAAATGCGTATTTCAGAGTGATTCGCAGAGAACGCCTATTTTTTTATGTTGTGTAAATACGTCCTTTCGTCCCTGCTAACATCGCCGAAAAGGATTACAGCTTTATTTTGCAAAGTGTACACCCCTGACACGCTCTGCCGAAAGACAGCTTCGGTGGCTGCATGCAGGGAAACGAGACGAAAGCGCGAAATTGCGCGCACTTTCCACCGCTTCGGTCAAACGAAGATTTCTCCATTCTGGTGGCAGCACCAAATCTCAGTGCCTTGCTGTACACGCCTGGGTGGTTTTCCCATCACGGTTAGGCAGACCCCCCTCACCTCACGCCGCTCTTTTTTTCTTTCACTTTTTTTCTCC